CCACCAGTAGTTGGTGATGGTGTATGTGAGAGGACCCCTCCTGTTAACAAGCTATATGTGTTAGACTCTATGATAAGATTAACCATTGAGGCAGGTAGGGAGTACTTCCTTTTATGCTTATTCTAGCTGTTATATTCTATCGTGAAAGTGGCCATGGTATGCTGTTGTTATCAATACTTGCTCTATGGGGTGCTTACCTCTTCTTGACAAGTGGTAAATACATACCTAATGGTAAGATTACACCTGGTATACGAGGAGGCGACCCTAAGGATACTACTGGCTTTGTTGGTCTTATTAATACAACTTTGAAGGAGAGGTATGATGCTAATCACCTAACACCATACGTTCTCAATGGTCATTGGGCAACAGCTCTGTTATGGCTTGTTGTGGATTACAAGAAGAAGCCTCAACTCAGACGTAGATGGTTTAAAACTGATGATACTACACCCAAGCATCCACAATCCATTGCTCTTGATTGGTGCCTTCCTGAGGGAGAGCCCAACCGAGAGGTTAAAGGTATTTACCTTGCTCTACATGGCCTTAATGGTGGCTCTGGTGAAGGATATGTAGTTGATTTGTATAATACTGCTGTCCCTCAAGGATATGCTGTGTGTACTATGATATCCCGTGGTCTTAGTGATACTCCCTGTAGTGGAGGCCCTGATGATGCTTTCTCTGGTGCTAGGGTTACTGATGCTTATAAGGCTATTCAGATCTGTCATAAGGCGGCAGGATCTGGAGTACCACTAATGTTGGTAGGGTACAGTATGGGTGGTATTGTAGCTGCTAATACGGTGGCTAAGTATGGTCATGAGTTGAGGGATAAACTAAGCTCGTGTGTTGTTATATCTGGTGGTACTAGATTGTTTGAGAATTATGATTATCTACCAGCAAGGGAATTATGGCATCCGATGATGGCAGAGGAATTGAAGGAATCTGTCATTGGTCCTATGGTAAAGAGGACAGGATTTAAACCTAAAGACCCTCAATGGTATACTATGCCTATGGGAGTTGTCGAACTTGATGCTGAGATATCCGCACCTGCTCATGGTTTTGCCTCTCTAGAAGACTACTATCATGGTTGTAGTGCTACTAGTGAGAAGACTAGTGAAGGAGGCAAGAACATATGTATACCAACGTTGTGTGTTCATGCATATGATGATCCAGTTATACATGTAGATTCATCAGGACTTATACCTCCTACGGCCTCTAAATATCTATTCTCTCTAGTCACTCCTAATGGTGGTCATGTTGGTTGGCCTCAAGGTTGGGTACCTTCAAAGACAGGTTTCAACTGGATCACAGCTACCGTTATGGCCTTCTCCAGTGCAGTCGCCAATAACAAGGATTTACTCCTTAAATACTAAGTATCCGTCACGATGGCGGCCATTCAGGATTTGTGGTATAACTATATCCTCGTTATTATCATCGTCATCGTAGATTTGTCGTATTGTAATCACCTCTCTAGCCCTAATGGATTGTAGAGGTGAT